ATTAAATGATTATAGTTCAAAACCTAAAACAAATTTTATTCCTGAATAAAGTTTGCAAAAAAAAAAAAAAAAAAAAAAACTTATTTATAAAATTTATTCCTTTTAAGTTCTTACCTTTAAAAATGGCTTAATTTTGGATCTCTTGTGAATTTTCTTTTTACCCATTCTTTTGTGTACTTTTTTTGGATATCTATCAATTCCAGCTACTAAAGCATGGCCATATTGTTTGGCAGATGTACCATCGTCGTAGTTTCTAAGTATGATGGCTTTCTTTCCAGCATAACGCCCACTTAGAACTAAAACGACTTTGCCTGGTTTCATAATTTTACCCATTTTGACGTCTGAAATTAAGCGAACAAATAATATACAGGTGTACTTTATATAAAAAATTTCACTAAAAGAAAATGTACAAGTAATAATATAACTTAAACATAATAAACTTTAATAATTTTAAATACTTTAAGAGATCAAACTGTTTATTTATAATATTTTAATTCAATATTGAAACACATTTTAATGAAACTTGCTGTGCATCAACGTTAAAACAACAAAGTCATAATTTTGAAGCACGCATAAACATAAAAATATATTTTTTTTAAAATAATACAAAAAAACTTACTATATAATGATACTTTATTTAGAATTTAACTACGGATGATAAAGATTACCAACGATAAATATTAATTAGAACCAAAAGTCCTAAAGATTGTAGCCATTACAGCTAAAAGCTACGATAACAGTACCACGTTTTTCTACTGCCACTGACAGTATTTTTTTACAGTGTATTTATTTAAAAATATTATAATAAATTTTTTATTTTTATTATTTATTATTAAAGCATTATTATCAAATTTAAATAAAAAAAACTTATTCTATTGATTTTTTTAACATTAAAAATACATTATTATTAAAAAAGTTTTTTTTCCAAAATATTGATTTTTGTTTAAATTTCTTGTGATATTTATTAAATTTTGAAATTGAAAGGTTTTTCTTGTTCTTTACTGCATTTAAAAAGATAAGAGAAAAGTTTGTTTTCAAATCCCATTTAGTTTAACATAATCCTAACTTTATTTTTTTGAAGGCTTTCACTTATTTATTTTACAGTAGTAATATAAAATTCTTTTATTAAACTTTACTTCTACCGTATATTATTTATAAGTATTGAACAGGTTATTATTTTAAAGTTTATCTTCACAAAAAAAAAAGTACTTTTCAAACAAAACAATACAGTTTATATCATTCCTTTACTTTAATTAATTTAATTTCCAACTTAAATTTATTAAATTTTAACGTCATTAAAATATCGATTGATTAAAATTTAATCTAAAATAGAAAACAAAATACATAAAATAGTAGATATTTCATTTAAAAGAAATTAAATTTTTTAAAATTTGAAAATGTTATCATCAATGCTGAAAGAACATCAAGTAAAACAGGCTAAATTAAAAGAGTTGCAGGGTACAAATAATAGAAATTGTATATATTTGATATGGTTAATGAATATACTAAATGGTTTTTTTTTTATTTAGAGCACAAAAGAAAAGAAGCAATCGGAGCAGCAAATAATTTAACTCAAGCATTAATTGATCACCTTAATGTCGGGTATAAAAACAAATATGAGAATGCAATTTTAAAAATTTATTTATTATCAGTTTTATAAAAGTATTTAAAATTTTTTTTTTTTTTTTTTTTTTACAGAGTGGCTCAAGCTTATTTAAATCAAAAAAAACTAGATGGTGAAGCTAAACAATTGTATTTAAGCGCTGTAAAATTTTCAAAACAAACTCAACAATGGTTATCGTTAGTTGAAAGTTTTAGTAATTCTCTTAAAGAAATAGGCGACATAGAAAATTGGTCAAAAACTATAGAAAATGATATGAAAATTATAACAACTGCTTTAGAATGTGCTTATAAAACATAAACATTATATTAAAATTAAAATAATGATTGAAAATTTTTTTTTTTTTCGATAATATTTATTAAAAATATATAATATATTTTATTGTACTCACCATAAGTTTTTTTTCATCAGTGAAATTTTTCGGCTTCCTTAATCTATTTTCCTCTTTAGTTTGTTTGTATTAATGGTTTTCATCGATGATTTACCTGAAAAGATTTTGATCATTTTAGATAAAGAAAATTATAATTAAACAAAGTTTTTTAAGTTTTTCAAAGTGTCATAAGTCCAACCTAAGAATTACAATGAAATTTGTTATATTTAACAGTGTTCATATTAAAACATTTTTTATAAATGCATATTTTCTTAATCTTGTATAACTTCTACAATTAATTATTGCACAATAGAATAATGTGAATTAAATTTAATAGAGATATTTACCTGATTTCATTTCATTTATCGTAATAAAATTGAAATCCTAAATTTGTACCATTCACATAATCTATCGATAAAGTACATAAAAAATTTTTGTTACATAACAAATTAGTAAAAGAAAAATTTTTTAAAAAATTTTATTCAATTGTATTATTGCTATAATTCTAAACAAAAAAAAAAAAAACAAAAAATTTAATAAGTTGATTAAACTCAGTTCATTTTATTATTATTAAATTTTTACATAAAAAATAAAATAATTAAGTATATATATATATATAAAGGCCCAAATTTTATATATATTTTTTTTTTTTAAAAATAATAAAAATTTTTATTAAACACATTATATATAATAATTAAGTACAAATAAATTTTTAACAAAATTTATATAAAATTTAATTAAAATATATATAAGAATATAAAAATGGCAATTAAAAAAGCCACATTATTTACTTATACCTATAAATCTGCTTTGGTAGATTTTATTTACATTACATAAAAGAGATTTTCAAATAATTCATCATCTATTATTATTATTATTATTATTGATATATAAATATATGTATTTATGTATTTTAAAATTAAAATTCACAATTAAAAAAATTTCATTAATACTTTTTAATATTTAAGTGATGTACATTAATTGTTATTAAAAAAAACTTACATAAAAATAATTAATAATAAGTAAAAATTTTCTTTTTTTCTTTCTATAATTGTTATTTATTAAATGATTAATATTTAATTAAAAAGGACGGATTAAATTTAATTCCTTTTTTTTTTATTAAAAACTTTAATTTAAATATTTAGTAAAAACTAAATCACATAAAATTAGTCAGATTAATTTATTTCATTAAAAAATACTATTAAAAAAAAAAAAAAAAATAGGGACGACACGTTATGCAATACTGTTTTTAAATAAATAACAAAAAAAAAAAAAAATTAAACAGCCAATGAATGTATTTATGTATGTTATTTTAACTAATAATAATAATAATAATTCTAATTGGTAATTTTATTAATTTACAATTCCCCCCCTCCTCTCCCACCATTTTCTTGCTTTTTATGTACAACAATAAAAAAAAAAAAACAATGGCTTATGTGTATTTATGTATCTTTCATTTTATGTATTTGATTTACCCAATAAATAAAAAAGTAAATAAATATTATCATCACGTCCAAAAAAAAATAAAAAATAAATTGACTACAAAAATATCATTTAAACAAAAAAGTTAATAAATAATTTGAGATTAAAAAATTGATTGATTATTTAAAACAATTTGATTTTACCTATAAAAAAAAATGTGAGCTATAATTAATGGCATTAAATATTTAAATGGAATGTTAATATGATGCCATCATAATAAAAATTTAATTTTTTACCCTAATTAAAATTATTATTACTATTTTTTGTTATTATTTATACAATATTAATACAGTTCAGTATAATATTATTTTTGTCTTGTTTTCAATATGGAGGAATGTATATAATTTTAACCTTTTTTTAATCTATAGATTCAAAAAAAAAAAAAAAAAAAATTAATAAATAACAATTACCCTGTCGTATGAGAACAATATTAAGGGTTTCTACTATTTTAAATCAAATGGGTAAATTTTTCTTCACCATTAATAATTTTATTTTTGTTATTATGTATCAGCTCTCGTTGGGATTTTCTTTTATCGTTATTTGAGATATGTAGGGTCCTCTCGTTCTTAAACTCGACGACGTTCTTCCTTCTTCTTTTTTATTTTTCCCATAGTGATAATTACCTACAGGCCCACTTCCGGATGAGCTCAATTTATTTAAATAATTAACGGTTTTTTTAACGGAATTGCAAGTTGTTAAATCATCCAGTTCCATTCTTCTCGGAAGGGATGATGTGTAAACTCTGCTGTTTTGTTCTTTTTCAAAATTCCTAGGCAACGAATCCGAATTTTGAATCCCTCCTTGGTTAATCCTGATTCTATTTTCTTGACTTTGTGCATTATTGTGACGATTTTGCATGACGGATTGTACGGATTCGTATTCGTAATAATTGGATACGGGTCTTTGGTGAATTTCTCTATTATCCCTTCTTTGAGAATGATAATGTTGTTTTTTCCTACTGTTAAAACAAATATAAAATGAAACAAAATGGTTTTTTACAACAAAAAATTACTCAAAAAAATAAAAAATAAATACTTACTTGAGATGATGTTGAATTTCTTCGTAATTTACATAATGTGAAAATTTAGCCGAATCCGTTATTCCCATTCTGCTACCAGGTCTACCCATTTCTCCATATACGTCATAATTATCAGATCGAAAATTTATCTTTGGATTATCTAATTTCTATAAAATAAAAAAATTATGAGTATTTTCCAGCTTGAATAAAACAAATCAAGGTTTTTTAGTAACGAACCTGTTGAATGGCTTGTTCAAACTTTTCCTCTTTATCATCAAAAGGATATTGTCCTTTTCTTTCCACGTGTTTCTTTTGATGTTTTGCTCTTAATTGATGTATACGTTCGCTCCTACTCTGAGATAAACTCTCCTTCGACTCATCACCCTTTTTCTCATTATTGCTGCTTTTATTTTCCATGCTAAATTTCCTCTGCCATTCCGTCTCCTTATCACTAAAATCGTAACTTTTTTTTCTAGGTTTTTGATCGGCAGAACTACAACTATTCAAATCCTCATCGTATAAAAGTCTTTGGCTTTGAGACGAATATATATTCCTATTGTTTCCTTCCTTGTATGGATCACTGACCACGGGATTGGATTTTCTCGAATAGCTACCCCTAATGTTTTTTTCATCTTCTTTAACATTATATTTTTGATCAAAGTAATTAGGTACGCCGTTGGTTTTACTCTGAAAAAAGCAGTACAAAGTTATAAATGACATTTAAAAAAAAAAAAAAAAGTCTAAGAGTCACATACTTGAATTTCCTGTTGTTGCCTCACTAATAACTTCCGGTATTGTTCTTGAATTTTTTCATATTCTTCTTGAGCAGCAATTCTTGCGTCATCTTTTACCTTTTCCGGATTAACTTCTTCCTTTTTAAAATCCTCACCATCTTCGTCATCTATTTCTATTTGATATTCCGAATCCATTGTTTTCCTGTGTTTTCCAAACCTTTAATAAGAAAATTTTGCGTGATATTTTTTTAAATAATTTTTTTTTTTTTTTTTTGGAGGGGGGGGGGGTAAAATTTACAAACCTAAACATCGATCCGATCCCTTTAAGCAACCCGGCTTTCTTTTTGTTGTGCTGTTTGGAATCTCTTATAGCGTTTAATGATAACTGTCGCGGAGTTCCTCTGCTTAAAGAATTAAAATCATCCGGTTCGTTACTTCCACCAAAACTTTCTTCTTCTGATACTGCTGAAATAGTCATATAAAAAAAAAAATACAATTATTATTATTTTCTTAATATTTTTTAAAAATAAAAAAAATTTTTCAACTTACGGGTTTCCATGTGATTTCTTAAACCTAAAGGTGCTTCGTAACTTCTATCTACGGCAGCTCTAAAACTTTCATTGCATCCTCTACCTCTGACAACCCTAATAGCACCCTGCCCGTTCCTATACGTATAAGCTGGATCAAGGTCTTCAGCCATTTGAACCTGAAATCATCGACGGTTTGAATGTAATTTTTGTGGTTTATTCCAAAAAGAAAAGGTTGGAAAAAAAAAAATTTTATAAACATACTTCTTGAACCATTGTTTGAAGAGATTCTAAACTTGAAGATTTTTTCATTCCTAGAGCAGGCCCAATGTCCAATTTTCCTCGTGATACATTTTCTGTAATTAATATTAAAAAAAAAAAAAAAAACCGTTTTAATTTCAAATCAATAATAATTTACACATGAAGTCGTGTAATTAAATTTTGATAAATATAAAAAAAAAATTATTTAAATTTGTCTGATTGAAGTATATATATATATATATATATATATATATATTATAACCCTGTAATATTATTAGGGTAGTAGTTCTGTGGCTTTATCATTTATATACATACCATTTGTTAAATTATCAGTCACTGACATGGCAATTGATTCCGCTGAACCAGGTCTTACAAGGGCTCTACCGGCTACAAAAAAATAAACAAAACCGCTTTTATGTTAATTACAGATCATGCAAATACAATTAATTACTGCTTGTTAAAAATCATATATATATAAAAAGATTTTTAAAAGCAGAAATCATTATTTTTAGAAATATTATTGGTATAACAAATATTCTGAAAGAACGGAGAAAAAACAAACGTCATGCTGCTATTAATCAACATGCAGAAAAAAAAAAAAAATTTTCTTAAATAAAAAAATTTGGATATAAATGTGCAAATAAAACAAGAAAATCAAAAAAGTATATAGAAAAGTTTTAAAAACGAATATACACGCACACACACACACACATTTTAATAGAGTTAACTTATTTTCCTATCACCTTTTATTCAACAAAAAAAAATATATATATATATATATATTACAAATATTTTTATTTTTGCAAGATAAGCAGCTTGTGATTGATTGGTGACAAACAAACAAACGCCATTTTGCCGGCAAAAAAGATGACGTTTAAAAAAAAAAAAAAAATGTCTTCATCCGTCAATTTAGTGTTATAAATATGTTAATGATTATTTTACGCAAACATTTTCAATCTGTGTTTTCATTTACGACAACTATTTTAAAAAAAAAAAAAAAAATTTATATATGTGTGTGAAAACAAAGAAAATAAACTAACGTTCGAGTAATTCCTGTCGGATTTCAGCAATTTTATTACTGATTTTAGCTTTCGTCTGATCCGTTTGCAAATTCTGCTGTTTTTCTTCTCTCTTTTTCTTATTCCTTCTATACGTATCGGTATTTTTGGCATCTAATGTCGCATGTCGTTTTTCAGACATACTCTGACGTCCGATTCCATCCCGTGAAAATCCTGCCGCATTTTCATCTAATGATAATCTAGAAAAAATAACAATGAAATTTTAAATTTCGAATAAGGTACAATAAAAAAAATCAAGATTAGGGATACTCACTGGCTAGCATAAGCAACATCTCGTCCCGTTAAATTTTGATTATTATTATTATTCGAAGGATTAGAATCGGAAATTTTATAATTTTCAGGTGGTTTTCTAGAAGAGTCTCTGTATAAAATGTTTTTAATTAATTACACGATTGATTAAAATAATAATAATAATAATAATAATATTAATAGTTACCTGACTGTATTGGCATCCATTTGATAATCTTCTTCTATTAATACCGGTTCAGCAGCAACGGGATTTATTGTAGGGCTATTTAATTGTTTTCCATTTGGATTGGACACGTTATTAATGTTCCATGTCGTTTCGTGTGTCGCCTATTTTCCACAGAATATTAATTTAAATTTAAAAAATTTTTTTTTTAAAATGAAAATTATCGAAAATTAAAGATTACTCACCCTGTAATAACTTTCGTTTCTCAAGGCATTATTGTTTGCCGGATGATTGGGAAGATGGCCGGTTAAACGATCTATGACTGGATTCCGGGATGAGGAAAATTTTTGCGACTTATGACTATTATTGCTCATATAAGAATCGTTGTTTGATTTATCGAATTTAAATGAATTATCCGATGGTGGTAAAAAAATAACCGTCGAGTCTGAGGTTTCACTGCATATGGAATGGTCGGGAGTGATGCCTTCAGCATCCGATCGACATATATCAACTCCTATTGGAAAATAAAAAAAAAAAAAAATTTTGTAGAGTATAATATTA